GATGACATCGATTAACTTTATCGATTGACATTCATAATATCCATTAACTTATCAACTTATCCATAACTTGGATTTGTCCATTAACTTGTTTTGATTTTATTATCGATTTTAAGATACACACATACTTATTAAACTTAATTTAATTTCAGAAAAATGAATTTGCCAAATCTATTCTTATTATTTTCCAAAAGTGAGTCCTGATTTTAAACCTGATACAGTTAAAATACTACGTAAGAATAATAAATTTCAGTGTAAGAATAGCAAAAGTAAAAATTAAAAGAGTTATCCTTGCAATTGTTTTCAAAAAATTGTAAAATAAAATTTTACAGTATGATTGTACCTTTTGAAAGAAAGTCTTAAATAAAACTCCCAGAAAATTTAACCAGTCAAATTATCAGCAAAACAATTTCTTGACAATCCTATACCCAGACTTGGTCCCTACAGTGCAATGCTCCATTAAAAATTTTTGGTCCTTAGTAAAGAGTTACGTTACGAGAGAGCTTCAAAGATTCATAACAACAGAAACGATTTATTCATACAAAAAATAGAAATTGAAAGCCTTAGAAAGCCTTATAATAAATTATTGAAATGAAGTAAACTCAAAGATATAGTCTTAAGACATAAACAACACATTTTTCATATTGCTTTGTTAAAATACATTTCTAACCAATTATTTATTACATTTTCTTTCTTAACAAATTAATAAACCAGTTAAAAACTAAAAACCGATATTTTGTACAATGTAACTAAGTATAAAGTGAAACTATATTCAATAAAACTACATAAGCTATCATGTATTTGAGTAGGTGTAGATCTATATGTTAGATTAGGTATGTGTTAAATAAAGGGCCATATATGCTTATAGAATTTCTAATATTCATTTTATTATGTGTGTTCCCATTATTTCCTTATAACATAAAATTTTAATATAAAAAATTTTACGATTTCTCATAATATGTATGTATAGTAAAATAAAAAATCAAAAAAAAAAAAAAAAAAAAATATTCATTGATTAATTTCACTAAAAATTCAATAATGAATTGAATGGAATATTCATTTAAAAATGTAGGTAATTCTTCGCCTTTGTTAAAAATATGCAAATTTAACACGTGCTTTTTTTCCGCATTCAAAACAAAATAAATTGCAAAAATAAAGGAAAAATTTCAATTTTTAATAATTTTATTTATTAAATAGCTTGTGTGTATGTGCACTGCTATATTATAAATTATAATAGTAAACTATATTTTCACTTTTTTTCGCATAAATTAACTTGTTTTGCAATTTTTGTATACCCATATAAAAATACAATTTCCTTTGTGTAAATCTACTTTTTTACATACATACACAATATGCGTGATTACATTAAAATTTCCTTACAAAAATTAAATTTTATAAATTATTTTCATCGTATATGCTTTAAGTATATTAAAAAATTTAAAATAATAAAAAAATTCTTTACTTAAATGCATGCGGTCCCAAAAAAAAATAAGTAAACAAACAAGCAAATAGTTGAGGTATGAGAGTAAAATGGAATAAAGTAAGTATTCACGTATAGATTGTAGACAATCTATGTTAGTTCACTCTTAAACTATGAACGAAAAACGAAATTATTTTTTCATATTCATTTCACTTTTTTAATTTATGCCACCACATACAGCTAGTTAGTTTTAATATTTTTTTTTTAAGATCAGTAAAGTTTTCACAAGTGGGAAATATTAACTTAGACATTTTTTATGTTGTTCGCATACTTTAACAACTCAAACACACACTGTATAACTATAAATATTAAAGAGGGCTTATATGACTGCCTTAAAAATATCATTGAGATTCAGAGATGTTTTTTTTTGTTTAGGTTGTTGTTCCTCTTTTAAAATTATTTCTCATTCTTTTAATATTTTTTTTTGTGTTTCTTTAAGTTTATGAGAAATTAAAAGTTGAATGAAATAAGAAATTTTTTCCCACACGAATGCTGTTCTGTTCAATATTTTTCCGCAATATTTTAGCCAACACCACCAACAAGGCGTATATTGTTACATAAATTAGAAATAAAATTTATTAAACTCTATACATATTATATATATACTTATTACGCAAATGACCATTAATAATAAAATAATTTTAAATTTTTTTTTGTTTTTCTGAATTCCGCTATTGAATTTATTGGTAAAAAAGTAATTTAAGGAAAACCAACTTTGCAAGTGAATTTATTTTATTTTCAATAATTCACTTATGTATACTAAAATCTGAGTTTAAAGCGTACTCATTACAAATCTGATTTTCAACAACTATTTAAATTAAGCTCTGTTTTTTTACGGCATCAATTTGTATTAGAGAAATTTTGTTAGGCTCAACATGATTAAAAAGAAATTGTCGCATGTATATGCAACGGTTAATGTAATTTTAATATCTGATCATAAAAAGTATATTTTTGTCGCATGGCATGGTCATCTATCTATGGTACTAAAATCGTATATATATATACATAGCATTGTTCGTTATTTGTAAATTAAACGCAAATTAGAACTAGAAGCGATTTTTCTGTGTGAGGTCGTATAAAAGCTAGACCTAGGAATGATCTCATTTAAACGGTTTCATTTTTAATGGTTCAAGACAAGTACTTCATTGTTTGTGTTTGAATTATATTTCTAACAGAACATATTTTATTCCATATGTTTAAAAATATTGCATCTCAACACCTACGTAAATAAAAGAAAAACAAAAAAATTTTGTACTTTATGACAAAACGGCCATTGTAATTAATGTGAGTGATTGTTTTTTTTTCTGAATGTCGGGGTATCTTGTGGAAAATCAGAACGGATAATTTATAAGATTACGATTCGGAATAATATCATGTCATATGTATAATTAAAATCTCTTTAAAATTTTTGAGCTTTTGCAAATTTAATTTGAATACTATTATTTTAACAAGCTGTCTTGACTGCCCATCATAAATTACATAGATTTCTATTAAACACTCTCATGTAACAAAAACTATTATAGAATAATTTTTTTAATTCAGAATCACAAACGTCAATGCATTCACAAGTGTAATTGTCTTTTATTGAAACACATGAGGTCTTTTAGTGAATTATTTGCTTTTTGTATCGAAAATTGAATTAAACAATATGATTTCTTTACATAATCTATTTAATAACTAATTTCCTCCATTAATTTTTTTTTATTTTAGTTTTAAAGATCTTTTAAAAATGTTCTATTTCTTATGGAAAATGGAAAAGAATTTAAGTTTATACAATAGGAATAAAAGTGAATATGAAACATGATAATTCAACAAAAAATTTGAAAAAATTTATTAATTAAAAATGTTGACAAAGAAGAGAATCTAATCGCCTCTACATACAAGTACACTTGTATTTACTATATAATGTTAGTACTTTCTAAATCAATTCTATAGCTAAACTTTTATTTCCAATGAACGAATAGAGCTTCGACCTATAATATTTGAGACGAATAAAGTTTAAATAAACAAAACATGCATAATTTCTTCTCATGACCTAATTCACAACCTCACTATGTCAAAAGCTTTCTTTAAAAATTTAATGATATTATTAAAAATTATCATTGAAAATTTAAGCTTCCCCTTTCATCTTTTAAAAAAACATTCACACAAAATCAAATATGTGATAAAAATTTTTAATACTTTTATTTTAATTCATTTATTTTAAACTCAACTCATAATATAGAAGAAAATGGAATTTTTAACAAGTGTTTTCTCATAAATAATTAATTAAAAAATCAAATAAATTAAGTACAAAAATCTAAATTAAAAAAAAATATCTAAAATTAAATTAAATTCAATATAGAAGAAAAATGAACAACAATTTCTGACATAATTATTGTGATTTATTTCGAATTTAATAAAAACAGCCTTCAAAAAATAATGGAAAATGTTGGTGTTGAATATAAAATAAATAATTGAATGTAAAACATGAACGAAAATTTAATAATTACTCGCATTCGAATTCACTATATAAATTCAATTTAGTTAAGTTTATTGTCAATACTAGCAATAATCAGTTGAAATAAAGTGTAAGCATAGTGATTTTTAGCAAATAAATAAATATTGGACAGAGCGTACAAATGTTTAAATCAAACTGCGATTAAACACGATTAAAGTTTTACTTTTAGGAAAAACACAAATTATCTGTGGCATTTAAACAAACTGTGCGAGAGAAGAATTTCTTAATAATAGAATAAAAATATTCTTATTAATTATGATGTGAAAGCACAACTTGACCGAATAGAAATTCCTTCTACAGTAGGGCTCCATATTACAACACAAGGTGTACCGAAATCTTAACCTCTGTCTCACAAAGTTTTACAGTAAGTACATAATTACTGATCGGGTTGTGTCTTAATAAACAATTTTGAAATATTTTTTTAAATTAAAAATTTGAAATAGCAATAATACATGTAGATGTAAATGAGTAAATTTTACATGTATAGTAATTTCAAGTAAATTGATTTTGCAATAAAAATAATTTGATTTTGCTGCCATCATTAGCATATAATAATGTTTACATTATTTAAAAAATTTTTATTTAAAGTATTTCTAAATTGGCAATCAAATATTTATTTTTGTGTGAAACTAAACAATTTTCATATAAAACTGCTCTATTTTCATGTATAATTGCTCAACTTTTATGTAAATTTCTACGATTTCCATATAAAACTGAAAAATTTTTGTGTAAATTTGCACAATTTTCATGTGAAGTTGTAAAATTCTCTCATAATTTTTTAATATAGCTGTAGTAATTAAAACTGCATTAAAAATGATAAAATATATTAAAAACACTTCAATACAGTCTAATATTACTTGATTTATCCTTCAACTTATTCAAGTAATTCATTAATCAGATCAAAACTAATTTTTAAGCTTTATAGTGAAAACAAAAACAAACAAAATTTAAGAACAATAAAATTGTTAAAATTAAAACATTTCATTTTTTATATAAAAATGTTAAAAAAAAAAAATTAAATACCTGTTGAAAATCCATCATTATCTGATGACAACGTTAATCGACTTGATAGTGGATTTGTAACATTTCCATTACCATTGCCATTTTCATTAATTTTATTTAATTTAATTACTGTTGATAGCGATGATGCTGATGATGATGTTACAATTGTTTCTTCTTCTAATATTTCATCGTAATGGATACCATCATTCCCATTTGAACGATGTCCATTCATTTTTTTTTATTAAATTATAAAAAATTAAGCCAATAATAATAATTTAATAATAATTTTTATATATATAGTAATTATATAAAAAAATCGTTTCAGTTATAAAAAAAATATGCAAGTCAGAAAAACTATAGGTTAATCTTTTATATAACATTAAACTTAACATACATACTCAAATATATGTATATACAAAATTTAGTTCAAATCTAAATTAATTTTTTTTTACTTTCATAAATTTAATATAATTTTTTATTATAAAATTTAAAAATTAATTATAAAAAATAGGAGTAACAAAATTCTCTTTTGTTTTATTTTTTTCTTGTTTTTATAATTTACAACTATTTACTATGTTTATAGACACGAAGCCAACTGTAACTAATATTATTATATAATGTAATTATCTCGAATTATTAATTTAATAAAATATTATTAAATATAAGTTGCAATTTCGTGTATATCGCCATTATCATCATCATGAAAATCTGAAAGTAAAAAAAAAATATTATTTAATTTTTGAAAAAAAAAAAAATAAATTACTTAATTATTTGTTATTTAATTTTAAATTTAGTATGGATTATGTTTGGTTAGTTGCAACAAATTAAAAGAGAATGACGGTGATTATTGCTGATATATCAAGAGGAAAAAATATATTAAGAGCATTTTAAGAGTAAAACTGGAACGCATAACAAGTAATTGCAAGTAATTTAGAATAACAAGAACAAATAATCCCGATTTCAAAACAAAAAATTCTGTTAAATCATATAACATCTCATAAATCTTAAGGTGCTATTGAAAAAGTTGCATTCATTGGTGTATTTTATAAGGAAATTGACATTCTCTTTTTTTAAGTGCAGCCTTTTTCTCTGCCTCTCAAAAAATTCAATCAAATTTAACTTTAGGACGGAGAGTTTTTTTTTTAACGTAAATTTTATTATTGATTTAAATACTATACATTTATATACTATAATTGAATGCAATAAAAAAATATTTGCTCAACTTACAAGCGAACAATTAATGAACCATTCAAGAGAAAAATTAGTTTGACTTGATTATAGTTAAAATAAAAAACGAAGAAACTATGTCCGTCTGAATACAGTGTCATCACCAAATTTGCTATAATTTCATTAAATTTGAAAATTCATCAAATTAACACACACTCAATTTACTATAAAAAATAATTAAATCAATATTATTTGTTAAATTTTATTCAAAAACAACTAAATATGAGAAACGAATTCAAAAGAATAGTTTTGCCAGAACTTGGATTTTACTTATTGCTAAGTTTTCGAAACCGAAACCATGAGATTTCTGTGCTAAACGATGGTTCAGAAAAAAAAATTAGATTTGGCAAATTATCATTACAGTTTCTTAAAAAAGAACGACTTAGTATTTACTTAAACATTTAGAATGAAAATAAAGGGAATCTTTTAAATTATTAATTTCTCGAGAAGGTGTTTTAGGACTTTGTCCCACACTTAGTTGGGCGACACAATAGATCTAAATTTTCGGGTCTCGGTACACTTTTAGCCCTGCTTTGCAATCTACAATTTACAATCTTTATTATCAATTATTTTGATTTTCATGAACTTATCAGTTTTGGTATTTTATACCCAAGACAAGATTTTTTGAACAACAAGTGAAACATCTCACACTAAATTAAAAAAAAAATTTTAAGTTCTTTGTGTTTTTTTTTCTAAAATTTTTAACCGTACTTGTTAAGTTCACATATTTTTAACATGATCGTCTAGTTTTTGAGATTAAATGAAGAATGTATTGTTTGCTTTTAATTAAATAATAAAATTCAAGTAAACAATTCTTTTAAAAATTTTACACTTTTCCTATTAATCACCATAACGAATTCTATGCTTGATAAGATTCACTGAAAGCTTAAGTAAAACTTAAATATAATTTAAAACTATTATTTTTTTTTTTCATCTAACAAAATTTTCTTACGTGGGCGGTCATTGATTGAACACAAGTGGTCTGCATTCACTATTAAAAAATATTATCATTTTATAAACACACAAACTTGCACACCTAGTAACTATAGTATATCTGTATACATGTACGTATGGGCAGAAAATCGTGACTTTCTAACTTTAATTTCTAGATTATTAATTATTATTATTTTATGATAAATGCGTATTTTATTAATAGTCTTTTTTCTTCAATACTTAAAAATTATCTAAAAAACTTTCCTTTCTATCAAGATAAACTTTAATAAATTACAAGTTATGAATATTTTATATACATAATGTATGTATGTATGTATATGCATATAATGTATGTGTGTGATTTAAAAAGGAGAAGTAACAAGTTATTTAAGTTGCTTTTTGTGCTTTAAACGAAATGCGACGGACAAATTATTTTTTTTTAATAAAAAATTAACAAAAGAAGAAAAATATGACGTTCAAAACCCAATTAATTTTAATTACTGAATTAAAAAAAACGAAGCCTACATACTCTCTTCTTACTCTTACACACACACACACACACATGCAGGTCAAAAATATACGCACATCTTTTTAATTTAATTTAATGAAATTTCTTTATTATTATTAAAGAATCCCATTTTTGGGCTTGAAAAATTTTCTCACTTTCCGCATACATTCTTTGTGGGTACGTGAACAAATCAAAGAAAAAATGGACAGGTAAATTTTTACAAATCATTCGGAAAAAAGTAAACGATTGAATTTTTTGTTTCTTTATTTTTCTTTCATTTAATTTTGTTATTGTTTTTGTTTTTTAGCAAAATTCATTAAGAAAAAAAATTTTTTTTTTTCATCTTACTATGCTAGTTTTTCACAGTATTTAAAATTTAAGTTAACGGAAATAACCGTTTAACTATTAATTACGGGGGTAACAAACGACAATATTAAAAAGAAACAAAAAAACATGCAATGCCATCATGATTGTCGTCATCTTCATATTGTTACTGACGTTATGACAACAAAAAATTTGAAGTTTTAAATTTTTAATTTTGTTAAATTTTTTATTTTCTTAAGAAAAATTATATGCCGTGTACTAGGCGAGAAATGAACTCTATATAGAAAAACTCATCTGAAATGAAAGTAAAAGTTTAAGATTCATTTTTAATTTTCGTTTTTTTTTCTACTTTTTTTTCTCTTTCTTTTCCAATTTCCATGTATGGCACTGATATATTCAAGTTTCTTGTATAAACTGTGGAAATATCTTAACTTAATTCATGATTTAAGAAAAGGTTATCATCATCTATGTATATTTGTGACAATCAAAAATAAAAAAAAATCTAATTTTAGTACATTTTCAAAAAAAAAAAATTTGTGCTTATTAGTTCTACTTTGTCTGTTCTTCACTTACAACAATTCCGTAGAGTTCCTCCAAATATACTGTTATTTCGTTAATTTTGAAAGTATTTTTTTTCCAATTCGCTAACTCAACTGAATTTCACATTTTAGCTGTTAATATATATGAGACAAATATTTTATTCCTCTAGAATGAAATTTCAGGGAACTTCATCCTTCTTCTCAAGTTATAAGTCCTCAAGTTTACAAAACAATTAATTTTTGGCCTGCTTTTCCTTTGAAACTATAAACCACAATTAACTTATTTAAAAAGCACGAAAGCAATAATATGACATTCATTCGTTCTGCCTAAAATTTATCCTTAAAAATTCATTGATAATTAAAATTCAATCTTTTCGGAAATAAGTTTTATTTAGTATAATTTAGATTTCGCCTAAATTTATGCAAAATTATGCAAAATTAATAAAATTTATTCTGTAGAGCGCTTTCTTTTTGGATCTCTTGAAGTACTTTAAAGCGAAATGTGCTCTTTTACAAAACACTATTTTAATCGAATAATTTGCTTTTTATTTATTTTCCAATTTTACTACTTAAAATGTGCTGTTTTTTTGGTATACACTAGTAAAATGTACAGATATATAGAAAACAAAACAATTTAAATATGTGCAATATATACACAGAAAAAAAAGAGTAGAACATTTAGCTAAAACAATAGTATAAATCACCTAATGAAATGCTTGATTTTCAGCCTCCTAAACTATTTAGCTACATTGCCTAATTTAAATTAGCTGAATTTACTTTTTAATAATTAGGAAAATTAACCAAATAAATTTGCTGATTTATCTACAATACTAGCTAAAATACCTAAAAATTTAGGTGGATTAGAACTAAGCAAATAGTCGATTCACCTAATCATTTAGTTGATTTATTTTAAAACCTTTTTGAAATTTAACTAAAGAAATAGGAATTTCACCTAAATAAATAGTTAAAAAATATTCTCAACAATAGATAATATACCTAATTATTTAGTTAGAGAATAGAAAATATAACTATTTTTTAGTTAATTATAATAGGGTTTTTACCTATTATATTAGAAAAAGTATCTAAACAAATTAGGCTCTTTTCTAAATTTATTTAGGTTTAATCCTGAAAATAAAAGAATGCTATAAATTAAAAATTAAGTTTTGCTTCATTTAATTTTATTTTGTTTAATATTTTTTCAGTTATTTGGCAATGATGATAGATTTTGTATTGTTAAATTTTTTGGCAAGTTAGTATTCCTCCTCTATAATAAAAAATTTTCTTATCACGTTTCGTAACGTGTAATGCAAAAGATTTTTTTCCATCTACAATAAATTGAAGTTTTCCATTGTTGTTTTGTTTCGGCCACGTGTGTAAAATTTTATCGTTTGTGGTTTCAAAATAGCATTTAATAGAATATTTACAATCTATAAATTAAAAATAATAATTGTTATACAACTTTTAAAAATTAGTCAAAATTTCTTTCTCAAATTACCTTTGAATATCTTGTTGTAAAAGTAATAAAAGTTTAATGTTTTCTGATCCTTTCTTTTTATAAAAATTAGTAATTTTAAGTTTAAAAGATTCCCATTTTGAAAGAAGTAACAAATTTTTCAGTGAAAATGTTTTTTCGAAGTCAAAATTCAATCTAAAATACGCAATTGAATATTTTTGGTTAGTTAAACAAAATAACTTGATTATATAAAACCTTACCAAAGAAGCTCCAAAGTTTTGTTTTAGAATAAGTCATTAATTAAAAACTTCATTCGAATATTCTACTGTGTTTTCTGCATAAAAAGTTGTTTGTTTTACTTTTAATACGATTTTCACTGTTTTTATTTCTTGAATGTTTAAAATCTTGAAAATGTAAACTATGCTTGTTTACTATACCAATATTCACCACATACTAGCTTCATTTCAAATACTTTAAAAATTAGGAATACGAAAAAAGTAGCGGTATTTTGAATTTTTTTCTTGATAAAACAAGTGTTTTTTTCTAAATTCAGCTAATGTTTTCGATGTTTCAACTAATGCTTTAGTTAATTCCTTTTTAAGTAAAATAATGTGGCCGAATTAACTAAAGTTGTAGCTAAAATATCTAGAAAAGTAGTTATTGAGGAACAAAAGTAGCGGTACTTTGTTTT